ATCGCCCATCGCCAGGTAGGGGCGTCGCGTCGCGGCGGAGCAGCGGCGGAGGGTGTCTCGAAAACGCGCGGCGCATTCCGCGGCGAGTTCTCTTGAGCCGGCTGTTTTCGCGAGTGCGGCGCCGTGAAATGTCGGTCGCTTGAGGTTTGTCCGGTGAGCGTGCTGGCTGGTGGCGGACTGTGGTGCGATACTCATTAGGGAGTGTTCCCAACTTTAATGTCCATTTTAGAACGGTCATCATATATATATATATTATATATATTATATGTAGTATATTATATATATATATAAATATAATATATATGTGGTCATGGTCATATATGTTAGTTTGTTGGTTTAATGTCATTCAGTTTAGGGTTTAGGGTTAGGATCGGTATCAATCATTAATCAGTTAATCATTAATGATATCAAGAGTGGGGACCACTCCTAATGGAGCGTTAGCGGCGACGGGGTATCTCGCAGTTTTTTTTTTTTTTTTTTTTTTTTTTTTTTTTTTTTTTTTTTTTTTGTTTTTTTTCTTTTTTTTTTTTTTTTTTTTTTTTTTTTTTTGTTTTTTTTCCGGGTGAAATGCGAGTGCTAGCTGCTTACTACTTTAGCTGTAGCTATGAGCTCTAGTCGGGTGGAGCTAAGGCAGCTAAAAGTTAACAATAGGAGAGGAGGCGCCGCCCATATCTGGCCCAATTGTTCGGCAGAGGACCCGGCTAGAACAGATTGTGTTCTATGTGTCTCTGGGTTCGGTCTGCACAGCCGTTTAGCTGCATCATCGGTCCAGTAGATGGCGCCCTTGAGGCGGAAAAGGCACACAGCCCAATCCGCCTTCCTCTCCTTGTTTATATGCTAGCTCCTTGGGTGGAGAATTAGGTCCGTATTCTCAGCGATTTATATATATTATATAGTATTTATTCTATGTTATATCAAGTATAATATATTAATATATGATATATTGTTAAGATGATTATAACTAAATCGTATACTATACGTTGTCTTCTGGCTCCCCACCTGTCAGGATGTTTGACCACCCTACCTGCGCGGAAGGTCGCACGGCTTCAGCGCGGTGCGACCTGGACAGAGATCTGCAGAGGCGTGGCAAGCTTGCCAGTCGGCAGTGTATCCCCGAGAGCGAGCATAACGCAAGGAACGCGAGAGAGTCGCAAACCCTGACGACGCTGTCTATGGTTATGTAGCCTACGGGGTGCAGTGGAGGAGGAAGGAAGAGAAGGAGGAGGGCGGAGAGAGAGGGAAGGTGAGGGAGTAGATGAGAAGCAGACAAGGGGGATGAGGGGCAGGGAGGGGGGATAGCGCTCATCACTCTTTCCCTCAAATATTTTGGTTTTGAATTTGGTGGGAGGCTGGCATTGCAGAGAGTGTGGTGATGATGCCGTGCGTGCGTGCGTGACCAGTGCGTGCGGTGCAGTGCGTGCGTGGTGTGTGTATGTACACTTGTCATGATGTTTACCTCTTGGATGCTCCGGTCTCGATCTCTTCTCTCTCTCTATCTCTCTCATCTCTCTCTCTCTCTCCACTCTCTCTCTCTCTCGTTCTCCCTCTCTCTCTCTCTCTCTCTTCTCTCTCTCTTTCTCTTCTCTCTCTCTCTTTCTCTCTCTCTCTCTCTCTCCCTTCTCTTCTCTCTCTCTCTCTCTCTCCCCTCCTCTCTCTACCTACTCCCCCCCCTCTCTCTCTCTCTCCCTCTCTCTCTCTATGCTCTCTCTCTCTCTCTCTCTCTCTCTCTCTCTCTCTCTCCCCCTCTCTCTATCTCTCTCTCTATTCTCTCTCTCTCTCTCTCTCTCTCTCTCACACCTCTCTCTCTCTGCACATCAGGACGTGGAGGAGGACGAGGACCCGGTGCCGGAGATCACACGCGAGCACTTTGAGGAGGCGATGAAGTATGCGCGACGCTCGGTCACCGACAACGACATCCGCAAGTACGAGATGTTCGCACAGACGCTGCAGCAGAGCCGAGGCTTCGGCGGAAACTTCAGGTGAGGTGGCGCCACCCGGTGGCGATTTTAGGAGGTATTTTGAGAGGTGGTATTTACAAGCAGGTTACCCGAGTGTTTATTCTCATGTGTGCACAATAAGCTGTGATATATGTAGGATGCTTGTTCATTATATTAAATATAATAACTCGATGGTAAAGCCTTTTTATGATTTCAAGTCATATTATACTTGCTCGTTTCATTATCAGACATGCTCGCTCATTCACGGCGGTGCGAACGTTTAATACTAGTTCGCTTATTCACAGTGATTTTTTCTGTATTTGCATTTCTTGTACGAGTTTGACTCCACTGCGTAAGCCTCTATTGGCCTTCTGTTTCTAGTCAGTAAGACCTATGGTGCGACTAGTGTGGATCTATCTAGTTATTGTACATTGTTAAAGTAATCAGACATTGCCAATTTAATCACTCGATGGCAGCTAGTGGTAGGCTTGTAGAATCCGGGGCCCATTGTTAGAAACATTAGTTGGGCAAAAACATGATAAAGAAATCAGCTATCATACGTTAACACTAGAAAACTTGTCTTCAAAAATTTCGTAAACTTTTTTACGATGCTAAACCTCAAAGGTAATTAGTGAAATTTTATCGATTAGTGACTTATGATGTCGTAACTACTTGTGATGTTTGCGACAACGTCCGCGCCCCTGTAGAGACAGTCCAACCCGCCTGCGTGCGCTTCTCACGTGTCGTTCGTTGTATTCGTACAGGTTCCCCGGCCAGACCGGCGGCAGTGGCACCCAGGGCACACCCGGCAGCGGTGCTGGACAGAGTAGCCAGTTTGCCGACGACGGAGACGATGACCTCTACAGCTAGGTCAAGGTCGGGGTCAGTCGACGCTTGTCGGAGTTCTTCTGCCGTTTACCGATTTTTATCGTCACCGTCACGTCATCGTAGCGTTAGCAGCGAGAGAGGGTTTCGGCGGTTGCCGCGGCGACCCAGCGAGTCGCAGGAGAGAGGCCGTCGCGTGCGATTTGTCGAGCGAGCGCGCGTGGTCTGGCTCCGTCGCTCACACGGGTGTAAATGTTTTCGTCGAGGCGTTGTTGCCGCCGCGCTGCCGCCGGCTCTGCGAGTTGGTATCGGCAGTATTGCCAGCTGCGTATTGGTGTGAAGAGACCCTTGATGTCTCGCACGCACGGTGGGCACGGTTGTGCTTCTAAAGCCCGGCGCACACGTGAGTTATTTTACTCAAGTAAAAGGACGCATGAGTCATTTTACTCACGTGTGCGGCGGATTTTCGTTGAGTAATTATCTCGCCCCATCTCACACCATCTCGCCATGTCTCATACCATCTCGCCATGTCTCACCCCATCTCGCCCCATCTCACACCATCTCACACCATGTCTCATCATTGCTTGCTATGTCTCACCACATCTCGCCGCGTCTCACCGTGTCTCGTGCGACCGCCGCAGGTGCTCACGGAGATGGACGGCATGAGCTCGAAGAAGAACGTGTTCATCATCGGCGCGACAAACCGACCGGACATCATCGACCCGGCGATCCTGCGGCCGGGCCGTCTCGACCAGCTCATCTACATCCCTCTGCCAGACGAGCTCTCTCGCGCCGCCATCCTGCATGCGAACCTGCGCAAGTCGCCCATCGCCAAGGTAGGGGGCGCCGCATGCGCGAGCACGCGGCGGAGGTGTCTCGAAACGCGCGCGATTCCGCGGCGAGTTCTCTTGAGCGGTGTTTTCGGAGTGCGGCGCGTGAAATGTCGGTCGTTGAGGTTTGTCCGGTGAGCGTGCTGCTGGTGGCGACTGTGGTGATACTCCATTAGGAGTGTTCCCAACTGTAATGTCATTAATGGTCATAATAACATATATATATATAATCATGGTCATATATTAGTTTTTGGTTTAATGTCATTTAGGTTAGGGTTAGGGTTAGGATTATCAATCATTAATCATTAATCATTAATGATATCAAAGTTGGGAACACTCCTAATGGAGCGTTAGCCGGCGACCGGGGTATCTCGTGAAATGCGAGTGCTAGCTGTAACTACTTAGCTGTTCGGTAGCTATGAGCTTAGTCGGGTGGAGCAAGGAGCTAAATATAACAAGGAGAGGAAGCGCCGCCATATCTGGCCCAAATTTGGGTTCGGCAGAGACTCTAGAACAGAATTAGTGTTCTATTGTCTCTGGGTTCGGTCTGCACAGCCGTTTCAGCTGATCATGGTCCATAGATGGCGCCCTTGAGGCGAAAAGCACACAGCCAATCCGCTTCCTCTCCTTGTTATATTTAGCTCCTTGGGGTTGAGAAGTAGGTCCTCTCTCAGCGGATATATATATATATATATATATATATAGTATTTATCTATGTTTATATCATTATAATAGATAATATATGATATATTTAAGATATTATAACTAATCGTATATATACGTTGTCTTCTGCTCATCACCTGTCAGGATGTTGACCTACCCTACCTGGCGAAGGTCACGCACGGCTTCAGCGGGGCCGACCTGACAGAGATCTGCCAGAGGGCGTGCAAGCTTGCCATCCGGCAGTGTATCGAGAGCGAGATACGCAAGGAACGCGAGAGAGTCGCAAACCCTGACGACGCTGTTATGGTATGTAGCTACGGGCTGCAGGAGGAGGGGGAGGAGGAGGAGGAGGAGGGGAAGTGGGAGTAGATGAGAAGCAGCAGGGGGAGGAGGAGGAGGAGGAGCTAGGAGGAGAAGCAGCGAGGGGGAGGAGGGGCGAGGGAGGGGGACTGGAGCTCATCACTCTTCCCTCAATATTTGGTTTGAATTTGTGTTAGTGCATTGCAGTGCAGTGTGGTGTGTGCGTGCGTGCGTGCGTGTGTGTGTACACTCGTCATGATGTCACTCTTGGATGCTCCCTGTCTCATCTCTTCTCTCTCTCTCTCTCTCTCTCTCTCTCTCTCTCTCTCTCTCT